GGGGGGGGGGGGGGGGGGGGGGGGGGGACCAACATTCCATTGACTTCACACAGAATCTGGGACGCTAGAGTTTGGCGGGGTGAAGGAAGTAGGAGGCGCGGATATTGGCGATGCAGTGGATGGACGCTCTGTTTCTGTGCCTGTGCCTTCTCGTGGAGTGTGTATGTCCCTCGTGCTTGTCTCTCTCTGCGTGTCTGCTTGCCCGCCTGTATATGTTTTCTGCCTGACCGTCTGTCAGTGGGTCTCTGTGTCGCCACCTCTGTCCACACTCGTTGGCCTGTCTCTCGACGATACACACGCATCCCACGCGTAAGTGCCCGACTGAAGGAACACAAATGTCGGCTTTGAGCCAGCTTTCACCCCGACGACACCAAGTGCTGTCAATCACACACACCTGAAGGGCCGTCTTGCTAGGTTGATGACGTGGGCCGGAGGGCGGGACAGCGTGGCCGTGATGGACAAGAGCAGCGGCAGGGGCGCCGATAGGCGCTCCTCCGGCTTCAGTCTCTGCACGCATCGGAAAAACCAGGGTGAATACGATGAAAATCATTCTCCGGAGTAGGTGGCAAGCAAACACTACGCGAAAGCCCAAACAAGGGTCATCCCCTCCTCCGAGGACACGACAATTCCTCCGAACAGAAAGCACTACAGACCTACTACTAGTATGCTGCAGCGGGTGCTATAGCTGGAAACAGCCAGCACTCCCACCATTCTCGCTCCAACAACGCCCCCAAGGACGAGACTAGGGTAGGATGTGTAAGATAAGACACCCCCGGTCCGACTATTAAAGCCCGAATACTCCGCAGAAAAAAAAGTGACGGTGCCGAAAACGGCGGCGTTGGAACCGTCTCATCGAGATCTTTCCGAAAGAGCGTCATCTTGATTTCCGGCATGATCTTCGTCGTGTAGTTATCGAGCCTTGAAAAATCGGTGCAGGGGGTGCGGAATCTTGCATCATGTCGCCTACGGCAAGCTGTTCGGGGAGTACATACACATGGCGCCGGTGGCAGCGTGCGACGCACCTGGGCCCATTCCACGATGGACCGCTCGCTCTCGGCTGCGGACTCTCCGTAGCGTCCCTCCAGCAGAGACAGGAGCGCAGAAGCGGCCTGTGCCCTGGCGCCAAAGGGTAGCTTGACGTCCTCGTCCAGCTGAGAGCAAAAATAAAAAGAGGGAATGATATAGTCTAATCGTACGCATACGAAAGCGAAATACCCATAGTGCTGGTTCAACACACTTGCTGGCTAAACACAAGACGAAAGGACACGACCCCAACACCACACCGCTACAAGTGCATCCAAATAGCTAAAATCAATGACGACGTGATAAATATTGCGCGCAGCCACGACAGACACGGCCTGGAACAGCAGTGCAATCGGCAGGGTAAAAGAAAGCGCAACGAAAACAACACTTGGTCGAAATAGAGAGAGACTAACAAACGCAGAGAGAATGTAACGTTGACGAAATAGAGACAGAGCCAGAGACAGGCTGAGAGGGAGAGAGGGAGAGAGAGAGAGAGAGAGAGAGAGAGAGAGAGAGAGAGAGAGANGAGAGAGAGAGAGAGAGAGAGAGAGAGAGAGAGAGAGAGAGAGAGAAGCACCGCGCACCTGCCCAGCCTCCCACTTTTCCGCCTCCGAGTCCGGCCTCAAGGCGTCCATCAGGGCCCTCGCAGCGTTGGCGGCGAACATGTCCAGACCTCTCGCGGACCGAACGGCCCTGCCTCTGCTACTCCCACGCCCGGCGGCGGCACATTGAGCCAACACGTGACAAGCCAGAGCGGCCGCGCGTTGGCAGACGCCGGGGCGGCGGATGGCGGGTACCAAACGCCGCCTGACGGGAGAACAACCCCCCCAACAGAAGCCAAGGGATATCAAAATCAAACAACGGAACGAGTTTGTCAAGAAGTTCAAGCGATGGCGTGCATTCGTTCAGCATCTGCGTTCAAAACACGGTGAGTTCATGTGAAAAAAACAACCACAAAACAGAAAATAAAAAACGGGAGATGTTTACACACGACAAACCACCCACCCCACCCGTCCTCGTTCTCCTTCCCTTTCTTTCTTGTTGGTTTCTGTCGCGGCATTCACTATGGCCAATCTCGTGTATTCATAGCCCATGCATTGCACAAGAACGTACGTTCGTTCTCCAAACCACGCCCTAACCCCTCCCCCCCCGCCCTGCTCCCCCCCGGTATTTGCCA